TATGTGTGTGTGTGTGTGTGTGTGTGTGTGTGTGTTTGTGTGTATTAGAGAGAGTTTGTGTGTGGCCTTTGAACTTTTTCTGGTGTTTAAATGCTTTTATAATTCACGGATCAAAAATGACCCATAAAACAATCTTTGTGCCCTCGTGGTGTACAGCCCACATGGAAACATAAACAAAGTATCACTTTTTCTAATGATGGGGTCCCTTTAAGAAAAGTCATAAAATTATAGTTTAAGGTATTTTTTCTACAGCTAAACATGGTAGTGGGTCACTTTTGACCTGCAAGACAACACAAGGGTTAAACGTCTGGCATTCTTGAAGAATTTCAAAAATTCTTGCAGCTATTGTTGGTAGATTTATCAACTAAGATCATCTTAAGTGATGTAATATGACACAGCAGAAGCCATTTTGATCAAACATTGAAAATGAGCAAGATCTCACACCATCAGTGCTCAAGAGTTGGTGTTGGTGATGACGCTCAGCTACTACCGCACCAAGTTTAGGCTCAATCTGTAAAAGTGACTGCGTTTCAGACACTTGTGTTAGCTAAAGTCGATTATCTGTGGCATCTATCTTGAACTGGGTCAATCAGTTGTAGATGTACATCCTGTTTACTTTCTGAATATTCAATAAAATCTGTCCAGTGGTTCATTAGACAGTTTACAAACAATCAGACAGAACTGGCTTTAGTTATTCACTGTAATGAATTCTTCCAAGCTCTTATTACAGGAGCAAATTTCTGAATATCAAATGCATTTCTTAGTGAAATAAAACGATGTTTGGTTTTAAACTTTTTTTAAATTTCTTTAGCATACTGGCATAGTAAAAGTTTTTCTAAATAAAACAAACAAAAAAAAGTACAACTAAGGTGATGTTGGGGTAATTTTACTCAAATTAAATGACTGTATAGCTGCTGGGTTCATTACTACAATGCTAGATTATTTTGGGCAGAGCTAAATAGTTAATGATAGCAATAAGTAAGCCTCCTTCTCCTCCTATTTTTATCAGGGCTTTCAATCTGCTACTCCTAAAGCTTTGGGGAAAATAAAAACATGCAGCTCCAGAAGTCTCTTTAAAAGTCTCTTTTGGAAGCAGCACGTCATCGACTTGGACTAAACTTGCAAAACAGAATTTTCCACAAATACAATAATGGCTTTCCCACACACTTTCCACTTTTTATACGGCAAATATCAAATCGTAGTTCTTTCATATATTTTATTTTTCTGTTCTCTAAACTCTTTGATTTCCATTATATGTTCCCTTCAGAAAACACTAGAGCCAGTAAAGATAGTCTAGCTAGCTAGTAGCTAGCATACAGTCAATCAATCAACCTTTATTTAGACAGGTAAATCCCATTGAGCCTCGAGGACTCATTTACAAGAGAGACCTGGGTTCAACAAAGAAAGATGACAACAATGGACAACAGCAACAACATTAAACAGTTATAAAAAAGCATACTACAGTTTTTTTTTTTTTTTTTAACAAATAGGATGGCTAAAAGGAAAAGGTAACAAAACAAAAAAAACAGCTAGATTCCAAGACAAATGTAGAAAACTAACAACAGGAACATGTCTGCATTGGACCCTGCCAGGAGTCCAACAGATTCTTAAAGACACTTAGAGAGGTCAAGGTCGAGAGCTTCAAATCTTTTTGTAAGATATTCCAGGAAACAGGAGCGGAGTAGGAGAAGGCCCTTTTGCCTAGTTCAGTCCTCATTGAGGGAACACTGCAGGTAATAATGTCCTGAGAGCGCACGCTGTAGCTGCACTCATGCAGAGACATGTAGGAGGAGATGTATGAAGGCAGCAGACCAAGAAGTGATTTAAAGATGAAAATGTACCAGTGAGAGAGTCTGCGTGAAGTTAATGATGTCCAGATGCATGCTCAATAATCTAGGTAGAAAAATCCAAAAAAGTTCAATCTGGTCCTCTGGACATTCAAAAAAACAAAAAACAAAACAAAGCAAAAAAATCTAGAAACGTTTCGTCTCTCACCCAAGAGACTTCCTCAGTCTGAGGTGCTGTTTTCAGCTCAGTCTCTTAAATAGCACCTTCACAGAGTGGATCAACCAGTTTGCTGCTGACAACCAAAACCAGCTGATCACATGCTCAAGAAGGACCATCAGCCTAACAATGGATCATTAGCAGCCATCAGTGTGACAGCCATATGTCCCACCGCACTCTCTGAGGTCAGCAGACCAGATGCTTCTCTCAGTCCCAGAAACCCGTCGTAAGCTCAGAGGTGACAGGGCTTTCTCTGTTGCAGGTCCACGACTGTGGAATGAGTTGCCACTGAGTGTCCGGCAGGCTCCCACACTCTCAGTCTTTAAGTCTCGCTTGAAGACCCACTTCTATTCGCTTGCCTTTAACACGGTGTGATTTGTTTTGGTCCGGTCTGTTCTCTACTCTGTTGGCCATTTTAGTTAGCTTCTGCTGCTATTTGTATCTGTATTTCTATTTTATGTTTTCCTGTCTGCTGTGCATGTTTGGTTCTTTTGTACAGCACTTTGGTTGGCCTTGTTGCTGTTTTAAGTGCTATATAAATAAATTGGTATGGTATGGTACATGCTGCCTACCTGGGCCTGTCCGCGCGCTCCAGGTGCTGCAGGTACTCCTCATCCACCTGACACATTTCTGCTCTCAGACAGGAAATTCTTCAGTTCCGATTCTGTTTACAGCTCAGAAACCGAGCGGTCCGCCTCAATAACTTTCAGTAGACAACGCTATGACATGTGAACGTGTTTATTTTGTTATTCAGAGCACAAACTCTCACTTCTAACCATATGTCTGTGCTTCTCTAACGAAAACAAACTTCGCGTGTCTGCAAAACGACGCATTTTGATGATGTAATAGAATTTTTACCATGATGATGCACACTCCTTACCAGTAGATGGCGGTAATACACACCATATGTTGCTTGACAATCGTCACAAAAGTCACAACAACAACAAGAAAACCGAAGAACATAAGAAGTAAAAGTATTCAATTTATTGTAATTTTTTTTTTAGAAACACAAAATTAGAAAAGAGAATATAAACATGATTGCAGACATAGCCATTTTATCCACACTCCACACCAGTAGGTGGCGGTAATGCACACTTTCTGTTATTTCCAACCGCCATAAAACTCCATCAAGAAGAAGAAGAAGAAGAAGAAGAAGAAGAAGAAAAAAAAAAGAAAAGAAAGCTAAGGTATTCTCTCTTGCTCTACGTGTAATACATTTAAAGGGATAAATAAAAAGTATTTTGATGTGTTTGGTCCACTGCCTGCTTAAACTGTATTTACGATAAATCCGCAAAAACGACCGTGAACAGCATGTAGATCCCACATGCTGTCGCTACGCAGAGTTAGCTAACACGCTGCTGTTTATTAAACTGTGTGGAGGGACTTATGTGAGCGCATGGCTCGCTGTTTTACAGAAACATGGCCGCACAAAGCAGCGTTGAAGACTACCCGCATGAAATAGACGAGCAGCTGACCGCCTTCGACTCCTCTGTGAACTCAGTGAAAACCATGCTGGAGAAGCTGATGTCCATGTCCAGGAACGACCTGCTGCAGAAGGTGCTCCTGACACATCCTCCTCGAGATTCTTGTCTTTGTGATTTTCTTCGTAACATTAAAAGCTAAACGTGTGAAATGACGTGACGTTATTCAGGAAGTGTTCATTTGATGAGAAAGTATTTATTTTTAATGTTAAATGAAGTTTGAGTGCACGGCAATGGCATGTTTACTTAAAGTAAATTGTAACTTGATTAGTTTCAGTTGACTACAATTGATATTTTACCCGGATTATTGAGCATGAAGTTTGATAAATTGTAACTTATGAGGAAATGCTAGTAATGTGATTTATAGATGTAGTTTGTGAACAAAACCTAAAACCTGACTAACAGCTGGATTCTTTATGGGGTTCATTCTTTACAGCTGGATCCTTTGGAACAAGCCAAGTTGGATCTGATGTCTGTCTACACTCTCAATTCATTATTCTGGAGTAAGTTATTCCTTATAGATTTTTTTACTTATTGTTTTAAACGTGTACGTTTATTAGTAGAAGCTCTTACAACAAACTTTTGCAGTATAATTAATGTGACTCTTAGTGGAAAATTCAGATAAATTTAAATTTTAGCATAACTTGAATGAATGCAAAAGATGGCTCTCTGCCTTCATGCCACTTATTTGTACTAAAATGATCAAATGCTGAGTTTGGTCAAACTTGATAACCATTAGATCCTTACCATGTGGCGTATGGATTATGTAGGATGTTGCAAATTTAGCTCAGTGTCTGTAAAATGAAATGAGCTATAGGCATTTGTTGTTTTGGCTAAGGTTGCTTAGCTTTGCCAGCCATCTTGAAAGTACTTGCCCCCAGAAGTTATTCATATAATTTAAAACCTCTGGCTCTTTGTGTATGAGCCATTCACATGCAGTGCATATTTAGACTTGAAGGGGAAGCATGAACATGTTATTTACATATGAACTTGTCAGCTGTATGTGTCCTAAAGAGCTTTAGCTCAGAGGTTTTGTTGACATGTGAACGTGTAGTCTTTTGTGTTCCTGTTTGCAGTGTACTTGATGACACAAGGAATAAACCCAAGAGAACATGGAATCAAACAGGAACTGGTATGCTCCTGTATTCACCAACTTATTGTGTTTGCTGAGTGTATGATAATCATCACATTACTCTCTGACCACTCCCTGTTCACCAGGTGCGAATAAGGACATACATGAACAGAGTCAAAGAGATCACCGACAAGAAGAAAGCTGCACGTCTAGATAAAGGAGCTGCTTCACGTTTTCTCAGAAATGCTCTTTATGATCCAGCGAACAAAGAATCTGGAAAAACAGCTTCCAAGAAATCAGCAGAAAAGAGCTCTGATGTGCCACGGTCAAAGCGGCCAAAGCAGAGCTGAACTGGAGGAACATGTGCTCCGTCTGTCCTCAGTACTTGTGTGGAGGTGACAAACTCTCAAGTAAACTTTTTTGAGCTTTACGTTTTTGTTTTTTTTTCCATCGAGTTTTGCAGTTGACTTAACTGAATTCATTGGGATTGTAACTTGTTGTCCAGTTCTTGGTTGCAGATGTCCAGCAGCAGACTTCACATGCTCACTGGAACTTTTAGGGGGGAAAAGATGCATCATTACAGACAGCAACATGTAATTTTTAAATTTTAGATACAAATGGTAAAAAGACACAATTTACATGGTAAAGTTATTATTATTATTTTTATTATAACAATTTGTTTTCACTTGAATATGATTCTATGAGTCGTAAATTTTTTTTTTTTGCAAACATGATTTGTTTGTAATGCTTCATCAAGAAGTTTTTTTTGTCTTAAACAAATATAACGCTTCATATTTTTATTTTACAAGTGTTCTCTTAATGTCCATCCATTTTCTTTATACTGTCCTGCTTACTGTATATTTGATACTGCTTCTTTCTTTCTGGGTCGCTGGTGCCTTTATCCAGCAGTCGGTGTTTATAGGCGGGACAGCGCTTCAGTTTCTCACAGGGACACGAGACAAACTATTCCCATTCACACTACGAACAATATAGAACTACCATTTAACCTAACATGCATGTGTTTGGTCTGTGGGAGGAAAGCGGAGTACCTGGAGAAAACGGAGAAAAGGTGTAAACCCCACACACAAAGGCTCCAGGCCGGGTGGCGAGCCTGCATTCTTGCTAAAGGCTGACCGCATGCTGCCCTTCTCTTAATACCGCATTTCAAAATAAAATATTCAAGATAGCTGAATGCCTAATTTTATGTAATTGTTTAATGTTTAATTGTGTCAACTGTAAGCACCGTTGAGGCACTTGGGTTGTATATTGTGTCACGTTTAATTCATTCAACCTTTGTTTATAAAGGTTAATCCCATTGAGCTACTGTTGTAGTCCTCGAGAACCGTCTTGGTCTCAAGACCACTTTTTCATGGTCTCGGTCTTGGACATTGAGGACTCAGGATTTTATTTCAAGACCAGTGAAGACCACAACTGTGGAAGTGTCATTAATTAGCCAGAGTATTGTCCAGTTTATTTAACATCCTTTCTCTTACTGGATGCAAAACGTACTGGTTCAAATCCAAGCGATAACACGACTCATTGCTTAATACTTTTTTTACCGCTGTCACGCCCACCCCCTTTCACTTACGTGTTTCACTCGCTCCAAGAAAGTGAGAAGTGATTGTCTGGGTGTGGGAGAAAATGTCTGCCAAATCATCCGTTATAAAATGTGGCTATTTAAATCACAAATAATATATTTGTAAAGTAAACTAATATCTGTTTATGTAACTTTTTTAGGTGTAGGCCTATATCTACTACTTTACTGAAACCACTGCATATATGGTTTTCCTTGGTGTTGAGTTTGGACTTATGCCACTGCAGTTTTTTAAGGCTTGGCATGTGATGGAACTGCTTCCAGTTTGCACCACCCTCTGTAGAGCTTTCCAGCTCTGACTGGTCCTGTTCCCATACCACCTGTGATGCAGCCTGTCCGCAGGCTCTCAATGGTGCACCTATAAAAGTTGGTGAGGATGCTGGTGTTCATACCAAACTTCTTTAGTCTTCTTAGGAAGTAGAGTCTTTGTCTGACTTTCTTGACCACAGTGTCTGTATGTAAAGTCCAGGACAGATCCTCAGTAACGTGAACACCGGGGAACGTGAAGCTGCTGACCTGCTCCACCTCAACGACTCGTTGGTATGTCTCCAAAATATATTTTAAAATAACAGTTTAGTTTGCAAAAGCACATCAAAATAAAAAAAGAAATTAAGAATATAACCAAGTGAACAGGATAAATTAGTGGATCAGTGGAGCGGCTGTGGCTGAGAGGTTAGAGCAGTCGTCCTCCAATGCAAGAATTGGGGGTTTGATTCCACCAGCAGCCACATGTTGAAGTGTCCCTGGGCAAAACACTGAAACCCTGACTGCCTCCGGTGTGTGTCCCATCAGTGTATGAATGTGAAAAAGCTCTGATTATTATTTGTAGCGATCTAGTAGAGTGCTGTATGAATGAGGACACAGATTGTGTTGTGAAGAGGATTCAAGGTTCTTTGTCATTTATACCACCAGTGGTGGAGAAAGTACTCAAACACTGTACTTAAGTAAAAGTACAAATAAACAGACAAAAATGTACTCTGGTAAAAGTAGAAGTACCACATTAACATTTTTACTTAAGTAAAAGTAAATAAGTACTTGCTTTTAAAATACTTTAATACTTAATACTTTTAATTACTCAAATACTTAAAGTATTAAAAGTAAAAGTACTTGCTGAATGTATTACATAATGCAATGGTCTACATATCTTTTAAGTCTGCCTACTGTATGTATATTTTCTGTAATACATTAATAGTGTTGAGCCATTTTAATGAACAATGCTGCAGATAATACATGTTTTTATTGTGTTTACTCTGTGACAGTTCACACTTGGACTTGTGATTCTGTGTCAGAATTTCAGGGATGACCTGCAGAGTTAAATGTCATTAATCAAAATAAGAAAGAGGAACGATTTTACCTCTGAAAGTTTTTATTTAACACAAAACAAAACCAATGTGTCATTTTAACTGCAGTAAAAACATTTAAGTAAAAGTTGTCTGCCTGAACAAAAGGAACACTAGACACAACTAACAAAGGAACAGGCTCTGATCATTTCAACTGACTCCAGTTTGTCATCAACTCTAGTTAAAATACTGTCTATTCAACCTTGTAATGGGTCAATATTGAACAATATTTTAACTTCCTGACACCATTTTTAAAACTTGGACCTGAGTGTTGAGACATTTGGAGACATCTCTTGTCTCCTAACATCATGAACTGACACAAGAATTTCTTGTTCAAGTTCAGAAGAAGTTGGTTTTCAAAGATTTTTGAGTTCAATCTGGCTCTTTTGGGAGAGAGAATCTGTCCTGTTGTACTGAGCAGTCTTTCAATAAGGACATGGGTGGAGCACATCTTCTGGCTCACTCTCTTACAGTGGAATCCATTTTGGGTGTGTTAGTGGTGCTGCTGGTGCACCCAGCTCAGTGACATATATACTAGAATATATGTCATTGGCCCAGTTCTTCTTGAAGGCGGGCCTAACGTTACCTGCCCACTTTGCAGTGATTCACTGGACCAGCTCCTCTCTCACCATCGGTTACTTTCAAAGTAACAAACAAATCAAAAAGCCACAACATGAATGTAACTTGTAACATATTATAGAAATGTAATGTAGTAGAAAGTACAGACACTTGATGTAAAATGTAGTCGAGTAAAAGTATAAGTACCCACATTTAACTCTACTTAAGTAAAGTACAGATACATGAAAAATGTACTTAAGTGCAGTAACAAAGTATTTGTACTTAGTTACATCCCACCACTGCACACCACATGTGGTACATGTGGTAGAATGAAATTATGTACACAGGGTCCCAGTTACATCCAACAAAAGTATTGGAATGTAAAAGAAAAACGGTAATATAAATACACTAAGCACTAGAATAAAAACAATACACCGAACAATTTAATTCAGTTTATTTATATAGTGCCATATCACAACAAAGTTGTCTCAGGGCACTTTATAGGAACATTCAGACACATAGAAAAGCCAATTAGTAAAGTTCTGTAAGGAAGCAGCAGACAAGTTGAATCTTTACTTCATCGCAGTCTCCCCAGCAGCACGGACATGAGTCTGTGTGAGCAGATGAGCATGCATGAACACAGCAACATGAAACAGATCAGCAGCAACATGAAACAGATCAGCAGCAACATGATGTGATTTTTCGCAGTGATTATTCTGGTTAGAGATTCATGAGTCTAACAGCCTCAGGGTAGAAGCTGTTCCTCAGTCTAGTGGTTCTACACTTAATGCTCCTCAACCTCCTGCCTGAGGGGAGTGGGGCAAAAATTGTGTGTGCTGGGTGAGTGGGGTCCTTCATGATGCAGGTGGCCCTCTTCCTGCATCTGGAGGTGTAGATGTCTGTGATGGTGGGGAGACTGACTCCAACAGACTTCTGTGCAGCCTTCACCTCTCTCTGCAAAGCTTTTCTTTCTGCAGCTGTGCAGCCTCCATGCCACACGTTGATGCTGGAGCACAGGATGCTCTCCACTGCACACCTGTAGAAGGAGGTGAGGACTGAGCTTCCCAGACCAGCTCGTCTCAGCCGCCTGAGGAAGTAGAGTCTCTGATGAGCTTTCTTGATCAGGCTGGTGATGCTGTTGCTCCAGCTGAGGTTGTCATTCATGTGTACACCCAAGTACTTTTACAAACCGGATTCCAAAAAAGTTGGAACACTAAACAAATTGTGAATAAAAACTGAATGCAATGATGTGGAGGTGCCAACATCTAATATTTTATTCAGAATAGAACACAAATCACAGATCAAAAGTTTTATCTGAGAGAATGTATCATTTTAAGGGAAAAATCTGTTGTTTCCAAATTTCATGGTGTCAACAAACCCCCCAAAAGTTGGGACAAGTCCATTTTTACCACTGTGTGGCATCCCCCCTTCTTCTTACAACTCAACAGACGTCTGGGACAGACGAGACCAGTTTCTCAAGTTTAGAAATAGGAATGCTCTCCCATTCATGTCTAATACAGGCCTCTAAAGCCCCTTATCCACAGGGCCCTTTGGTACTCCTATGTAACTAGTTATGGCCAATTGCGTGTTTTATCCACAATGCCTTTAGCGGTGGAACCCACCCCATTTTTGGGACCTAATTCTCTGAGGTCCCAGGTCTGGTTCTTGTAGGGTCTAGATGTGACATCAGCGCACTGTAGGTCACTGATTGGTCAGGGGGCGTATTCATTGGTGGAGGGCGGAGATTCAGTCTTCCACCGGAAATCCAGATTCGCCATTTTCTTTTTCACCCGCCATAACAGACAACAAGAAATCGGAGGAGCATATTTTGGAATATTTTATAAGGTAAAACAAATAATCATGGCACAACCGTGGTCGAATGCTGAAGTTCAGGCATTTCTCTGTTTGCTGGCCGACGAACAAGTGCAGAGTGAGCTAGATGGAACCAAACGAAATGAAAAGATTTTTCAAGAGGTGTCTGCGCAGATGGCGGTGCAGGGCTTCCATCGCACACCAAAGCAAATTAGAGGAAAGCTTAAAAAACTAAAAAGCGATTACAAAACGATTAAGGACCACAACGGTAGGAGTGGAGCAAACAGAAGAAACTGGAAGTGGTTTGTACAAATGGATGCCATTTACGGCAAACGCCCAGCCAAAAAAGGGAGGGAGAGTGGCCTAGACACAGCCACTGCTCTTC